TTTTAGCAGCAAAGGGGGGACCAACGCCATATTAATGCCCATGATTTTGGAATGAGATGTTCAACATACTTTTCGTCATGTAGTGTAGCACAGCAACTGATCCACGCCCCAACCTTTTTTTTAAGGTATCTGTGACCAACAGATGCATATCTGTATTCCCAGTCAAGTGAAATCCATAGATTAGGGCCAAATGAATTTATTTGAATTGACTGATTTCCTTATATGAACTGTAACTCCGATGACTAAAATGTAAAACATAAATCTAATTGTTTTTTAGAGATTTTTACAAATTAATAAAAAATGAAAAGCTGAAACGTCTTGAGTCAATAAGTATTTAACCCCTTTGTTATGGCATGCCTAAATACGTTCAGGAGTAAAAATGTGCATAAGTCACATAATAAGTTGCAATAATAGGTTTTTAACATTATTTTTGAATGACCCTCAGTCGAGCAGTGAATTTCAAATGCAGATTCAACCACAAAGACCAGGGAGGTTTTCCAATGTCTCGCAAAGAAGAGCACCTATTGGTAAATGAGTAAAAATAAAAAAAGCAGACATTGAATATCCCTTTTGAGCATGGCGAAGTTATTAATTCTTAAAGGTCTTTTCCAACAGTCTTGAAGGAGTTCCCACATATGCTGAGCTCTTGTTGGCTGCCTTTCCTTCACTCTGCGGTCCAACTCATCCCAAACCATCTCAATTGGGTTGAGGTTGGGTGATTGTGGAGGCCAGGTCATCTGATGCAGCACTCAATCACTCTCCTTGGTCAAATAGCCCTTACACAGCTTGGAGGTGTGTTTTGGGTCATTGTCCTGTTGAAAAACAAATGATAGTCCCACTAAGCGCAAACCAGATGGGGTGGCGTATTGCTGCAGAATGCTGTGGTAGTCATGCTGGTTAAGTGTGCCTTGAATTCTAAATAAATCACAGACAGTGTCACCAGCAAAGCACCCCCACACCATCACACCTCCTCCTCCAAGCTCTTTGCTTATATAAATGCATTCCAGGTGACTACCTCATGAAGCTGGCTGAGAGAATGCCAAGAGTGTGCAAAGCTGTCATCAAGGCAAAGGGTGGATACTTTGAAGAATCTCAAATATAAAATATATTACAATTTGTTTAACAGTTTTCTGGTTACTACATGATTCCATAGGTTTTATTTCATAATTTGATGTCTTCAATATTATTCTACAATGTAGAAAATAGTAAAAAGAAAGAAACATCCTGGAATTAGTAGGTGTGTCCAAACTTTTGACTGTATTTATTTCTTTTTGACACATATTTAAAAAATGTTTTACTGATACCGGTTACCTTCAGACGAGTCCCATGTCACTTGTGAGCAAAACCGAGAACATCATCGTGTTCATGAGTCTCCCCTTTCCATAGAGTGGCCACAGAGTGGTCCAACCGTTTGGATGCTAGAGACGTTTTTGTGAGAAGACTGATTTTCGGCATTTTATGGTCTGACAAACACTGCTCTAGCTCTGCCACCTTTCACAGCAGATGCGGGAGTCCGACATCGGCGGATGAGGTGGACTGAGACGCATCTAATGCAAAACTGATCTCTTGCTTAAACCGGCGGATTTTGATCTTTTTTTATTATGTTACTTAGATTGACACACCGGTGTGTCAATCGACTCTAGGGGGTTAATTACACTTTGGATATTGTGTCAATACACCCAGTCACTACAAAGATACAGGTTTCCTTCCTAACTCAGTTGCCGGAGAGGAAGGAAACTGCCCAGGGATTTCACCATGAGGCCAATTGTGACTTTAAAACAGTTACATAGTTTAATGGCTGTAATATGAGAAAACTGAGGACAGATCAAAAACTTTGTAGTTACTCCACAATACTAACCTAAATGACAGAGGGAAAAGAAGGAAGCCTGTACAGAATAAAAATATTCCAAAACATGCATCCTGTTTGCAATAAGGCACTAAAGTAAAACTGCACTAAAAAAAGAAATTATGTCCTGAATACAGCGTTATGTTTGGGGCAAATCCAACAACACATCACTGAGTAGCACTCTTCATATTTTCAAGCATGGTGGTGGCTGCATCATGTTAAGGGTATGCTTGTCATCGGCAAGGACTAAGGTTTTTTGTATAAAAAGAAACAGAATAGAGCTAAGCACAGGCAAAATCCTAGAGGAAAACCTGGTTCAGTCTACTTTCCAACAGACACTGGGAAACAAATTCACCTTTCAGCAGGACAATAACCGAAAACACCAAATATACACTGGAGTTGGTTACCAAGATGACATTGAATGTTCCTGAGTGCCCTAGTTATAGTTTTGACTTAAATCGGCTTGAAAATCTATGGCAAGACTTGAAAATGGCTGTCTAGCCATGATCAACAACCAACTTGGCAGGGCTTGAAGAAATATTGTACAATCCAGGTGTGCAAAGCTCTTAGAGACCTACCCAGAAAGACTTGCAGCTGTAAATTGCTGCCAAAGGTGATTCTAACATGTATTGACTCAGGGGTATTTCATTTTCAATATATTTGCTAAAATTTCTAAAAATATGTTTTCACTGTCTTTAAGGGGTCTATAAATCTATTTAATCCATTTTTAATTCAGGCTGTAACAACAAAATGTGGAAGAAGTCAAGGGGTATGAATACTTTCTGAAGGCACTGTACATATTTGGGACAGAGGAAATCTGCTCCACAGACAACTTCAACCTGGTCGTGAATGAACTGAAAGACAAAACAAGGAGGGCTTTCTATGCCATTAAAATATCTATCAAATTAGACATACCAACTAGGATCTGGCTGAAAATATTATAATAAAATATAGAACCAATTGCACTATATAATATATGGCAGCGAAGTGTGGGGTCCGCTTACAAAACAAGAATTTGCCAAATGGGACAAACATCCAATTGAAACTCTGCATGCAGATTTCTGTAAGAGCAAAAACTCCAAACACCACATGCAGCGCAGAATTAGGCCAATTCCCTCTTCTGATTAATATCCCCAAAAAAGTATAATCATTTAAAAACAAGGGACCCCCCCACTCCTACCATTAAAAAAGCCCTCAAATGTCAAGAGGTGACCATAGAAAACAAGAGTCCCCTCAGCCAGCTGGTCCTGAGGCTCTATTCACTAAACACTACCAACCCAACGAAGGCTCAGGACACCTAATGGCTGCTTGCTAGGCACCATCCATCCTAAACTAAATCTACCTTCAGCCATCTTTTTTATTGCCCCAAGTTTGTGTTAAACACCTGGAATAGATTCAGCATGAGTAGGCATGGAAGAAACACCTGCAATTTGGCTTAGTCAGGCTCGAAGGGAAAACAAAACGACATGAGGAGCCACAGTCCCTCGCCACGAGGCCGACGACGGCGATGCTAGCCCACAGGTGTCACAGGCAAGCGAAGTGAGTACAATTCTAATTGAATTCTGAAAATTCCGACAGGAGACCAACGAAAGCATGAGTAAGATGACAAGCTCCATTGCTGAGCTGGAACAATCTATTAAGGGACTCAGTGAAAGGGTGACTGATGCAGAGAATCGTGTTAGCACAGTGGAGGATGGATGCGTTCGCACTGACCGCCTCCTCTAATACCTGGTACGGAGGGACAGACGACTCAATGTCAGGTGTGAGGCACTCGAGAATTTTATGAGAAGGAGCAACTTGAGACCACTTAAGGTAATAAGCTATAACTTGAAAGGCATTCATAGCCTGATTAAGAAAAATAAAGTACTCTATCAGTTGAAACAACTTGGATGTAAGATTGCATTTCTGCAAGAAACACATTTATCGGATAACGAGCATGAGAAACTGAATAGGACATGGGTTAATAAAATATTATATTTATCTCATATATCAGAATGGAAAAGGGGGGAAGCAATTCTAGCGCACAGGTCAGTCAATTTAACTGCCAGCTCCTCTCATAGAGATACAGAGGGTAGGTTCATATTAGTAAATGGAACTATTGATGGGTGAATGTATCATTGCAAAATGTGTATGCTCCCAACAAGGATGATCCAGGGTTTATCAAAAAGATTAAACCTTCTGTTGGAGAATAGCTCTGACTTACTCCTAATGGGGGGGGGGAGACTTTCATTGTGTTATGTCTCCGACTGTAGATAGATCACCTTTACCATCAACTCCACCCTCTAGGATGAGCAAGTCACTGATTAGCCACTGTCTAGAAGTGGGATTGGTTGATGTATGGATATACCTTTATCCAAGTGGGAGAGACTTCACATTTTATTCAAACCGCCACTTATTCTATTCACACATTGACTACTTCTTTACCACTAAGTCTGAAGCCTATAGGATAATGGATTGTGAGACACTTCCAATAACTTTGTCGGACCATTCACCATTGAAGGCGATGTGGGATTTAGGACAGAAATCTATCTCACGAACGTGGAGACTAAACTTAATTAAACTAAATTTGTGGACTTTGTTAGAAAAGAGCTGCAGTTCTATCTTGATCTTAACATAAGCCCTGAGGTCTCCCCACTTACGCTCTGGGACTGTGCAAAAGCCTTTCTAAGAGGTCACATTATATCATTCGCAAGGGCAAAAAGAAAAAGAGTAATGAATCCAAGTGCACTGAATAAAAAAAAATCTAAAAACATTTAGAACAACAGCACAAAGCAAAACCATCCACAGCTCTGATGACATCCCTTAATGAAACGTGCAGAGCTTTAAATAGCCTGCTCACTGAAAAAAAATAGAGGGCCGTTGAAGATTTGCTAAGCAGTGATATTCAATTTGAGAGGAAGAAATCAAGTAAATGGACTGAAAGAGACAAGGAAGAGGTGAGGGAGGTAAAGTATGTACGGAGAGTGGATATCAGTGGGGGAAGAGAGAGAGGTGAGGAATGAGGAAGAGAATATGTATGGAGAGTAAAGATGAGTGGGTCTTATAGAAAGGGGCAGGGAGAGGAGGAGAGTGAGAAGAGAGGAGCAGGGAGAGGATGTAGAGAAATAGTTAGAGTAGACAATATGTCTGGAGAGTAGAGTATAGACTTAGCATGTTACAATTGCAGTAAAATTACAACAGCGTCCATGAAGGAGAAGCTAGGAGAGGAGGTAGAGAAGGAGGTAGAGTTAAGACTCACGTCTGGGGGGATGCGGGCACCGTCTTTGACGGTATTCCCCTCGACAGTGATGTGGTACACCTGTCCGTCTGTGTCTGTGAACACAAAGTGTTCCCTCGCTGAAATGGCCTGGCCTCCTCCCTCCGATTTACTCTCTGCATCCTGCAGAAGACTAGAGACACACAAACACGTTTTACTATTAAAGTGAGGACCACTGATAAAGCGAGGGCTAGATCAGGGGTCAGCAAATAAACCGGACCGTGGTTTATTTTGCCCCTTTCAGATTTTAGCTTTTGGTCAAAAAAAGACTAACATCACCAGGAATTCAGCTAAAAATGTGTTTAATTCAGGAAATCTGTTAACAAGTATTCCCACAAATAAAAAAAGAGACGTGATTGTGTCTCAATGTAATCAAGGTATGAAATAATTTCAAATACAATCTCTTTTTGGGCTTAGTTGTGGTCAATTTGCATCTTACACATTATTATAATAACGTTCCGACCCCTCCGCTCTGACAAAAATCGACCCGCGGCTGAATCTAGTTTCCTACCCCTGGGCTAGATACATACTGACACCACATCTCACTACGAGATGGCCTCAGGAAACACACACACACAATATTAAGAAAGACACATTGGGCATTTACAATGAATTTATGAGTAATGTTGAGTAGGGCCAGGAGTTTTTTTCTGACCATGTGGCAAAACTCCAGGCCTTAGTGCTGAGGTGCGACCCACCCCCCCCCCTTCATGCCCCCTGCTCTCTGACCTGATAACGTTGTACTCCACGCTGCTCTGCTCGGTGTCAGACAGAGTGGTCTGTCTGGCCATGGCCTCCCGTGCTAACATCTGCTTCTTCTTCAGACTCTTCAGGTTGTGGGAGGGGGACCACTCCTGCACACACACCCGCAAAAAGTGCATGGCGCACACACACACAATGTTCATAGAGATTTCTTCAGCTGCCTGACATCTTGAGGTACACCATTATTGGTGGACATAAACATTGAGATAGGAAAAATGTTGTTGTTTTTTCATCCACACCCACACAACCACAAATTCACAAAATAGCTCTTTCCCATACCCTATTTCATCATTCAGGATTGCGGCCCTAACCGCTGCCCCATTTTGCCCGGAGGGTGCAATCAATGTGGAAATGAGCAGGCAGTATGGGGATGGGGATAGCATGCATTATTAACATTACTGTGGATACGATTTTACAGCCCACAGTAAAGTTTGGCCAACATCAATCACCTTTTATCCATTTTTCTTGGGACTAATGAAGCTAATTCCTTGCTGAGAGAGGAGAAATTTCTCAACTAATCTTACAAATTGAAAATATACCAACGTGTACACAGGCGAGAGAGAGAGTACAGTACATTCGGAAAGTATTCAGACCCCTTGACTTTTTCCACTTTTTGTTATGTTACAGCCTCATCAATCTACACACAATACCACATAATGACAAAGCAAAAACAGGTTTTTAGATTTTTTTGCTAATTTATAAAAAATATCACATTTACATAAGTATTTAGACCCTTTACTTAGTACTTTGTTGAAGCACCTTTGGCAGCGATTACAGCCTCAAGTCTTCTTGGGTATTATACTACAAGCTTGGTACACCTGTATTTGGGGAGTTTCTCCCATTCTTCTCTGCAGATCCTCTCAAGCTCTGTCAGGTTGGATGGGGAGCGTCGCTGCACAGCTATTTTCAGGTCTCTCTAGAGACTTGTCCCGAAGCCACTCCTGCGTTGTCTTGGCTGTGTGCTTAGGGTTGTTGTCCTGTTGGAAGGTGAACCTTCGCCCCAGTCTGAGGTCCTGAGTGCTCTGGAGCAGGTTTTCATCAAGGATCTCTATGTACTTTGCTCCATTCATCTTTCCCTCGATCCTGACTAGTCTCCCAGTCACTGCCGCTGAAAAACATCCCCACAGCATGATGCTGCCATCAACATGCTTCTCCGTAGGGATGGTGCCAGGTTTCCTCCAGACGTGACGCTTGGCATTCAGGCCAAAGAGTTCAATTTTGGTTTAATCAGACAGAGAATCTTGTTTCTCATGGCCTGAGAGTCCTTTAGGTGCCTTTTGGCAAACTCCAAGTTGGCTGTGAAGTGCCTTTTATTGAGGAGTGGCTTCCATCTGGCCACTCTACCATATAGGCCTGAATGGTGGAGTGCTACAGAGATGGTTGTCCTTCTGGAAAGTTCTCCCATCTCCACAGAGGAACTCTGGAGCTCTTTCAGTGACCATCGGGTTTCTTGGTCACCTCATTGACCAGCCCTTCTCCCCCGATTGTTCAGTTTGGCCAGGCGGCCAGCTCTAGGAAGAGTCTTGGTGGTTCCAAACTTCTTCCATTTAAGAACTGTGGGACCTTATATATATATACACACAGGTGTGTGCCTTTCCAAATCAAATCAATTGAATTTACCACAGGTGGACTCCAATCAAGTTGTAGAAACATTTTAAGGATGATCAATGGAAACAGGATGCACCTGAGCTAAATTTAAAGTCTCATAGCAAATGTTCTGACTACTTATGTAAATAAGGTATTTGCTTTATTTTATTTTATTTAAAACAATTCTAAAAACCTGTTTTCGCTTTGTCATTATGTGGTATTGTGTGTAGATTGTAACGTAACAACATTTGGAAAAAGTCAAGGGGTCTGAATACTTTCCGAATGCACTGTATAGACACAGAATTATCAACTCAGAGAGACTCTTGGAAAGTATTTCCTCAGTTTACAATGCCTAGGTGTATATGCATGTATACTATGATGTTTTTGTGTGTGTGTGCGTGTGTGTGTTCAGTACCAGTGCAGTGACAGTGGGGAAGTTCTTGGCCATCTCTCGTAGCAGGGTGCCGGTCCTGACGTCCCACAGCTCCAGAGGCTTGTCTCTGAACACCACAACCAGGTACTGCCTGTAGGGTGCGACACATCACAGTCTGTACCAACAAAATCATCCCCATGGGCTCTATGGGCCACTTTCTCAGAGACACACACATCCGTACACACACGAGCGTACGCACGCATGCACACACAGATTTCAAACATCCATTCCTTGTATGAAGGGCGCCCTGTGCTGTACTGGAGTTCGTGCTGTTCTAGGGAGAGAACAAATAGCGTCAGAATAAAATTAGCTCTAAGGGAACAGAGACAAAGAGCAGAAGCGCTGCTACTTTGTCTGAAGTTTCATTAAGGGTGCTTTGTCCTGATGAGACAGCCCAGTCCTTGCCAAGGTAAATATCTCCCCCTCCCTCTTTTGTCTAACTCTCTCTTTATCCCTCACCACCATTCTCTCTCTCCCTCTCTCCCTCTATCCCTCCCTCCCTCCCTCCCTCCCTCCCCCTCTCATGCAGAGAGCTCTTTAGAGGGCCTTTAGCCATCAGAAGCAGGTGCTTGAGGCTGACAACTGCTCAGTAGCAGGAACAGAATAAGAGAGTATGCCCTGGACTCCTAAAGGAAATGGATATCCCCTGATTGACAGCACAGGCTTAATTAAAAAAAAAACACCCGGTGGGGAGACAAGAGAGAGAGAGAGAGACGACGACGGTGGCGGGTTTGTGTTCATGTGTGTGTTTGTGTATGCATGTGCGTGTGCGTGTGAGTGTGGCAACTTAAGTGTAGGGAGGGGGCTGTGTGAAGGGGACTCACTTCAGATGAGACACTTTCATCATCTCAATGGCAGGCTCGTCGTTCCCCTGCTCGCCTCGGAATGCAAAGCACCTGCCTGGGAGAGGAAGGGAAGGAAAGAGGAGAGAGAGAAAAAGAGAGCATTATATCATTCAACATAATGAAACACATAAGTATGGTCATTTACACTAGTGTTCAAAAGTTTGGGGTCACTTAGAAATGTCCTTGTTTTCGAAAGAAAAGCACATGTTTTGTCCATTAAAATAACATCAAATTGATCAGAAATACAGTGCAGACATTGTTAATGTTGTAAATGGCTATTGTAGCTGGAAACGGCTGATTTTTTATGGAATATCTACATAGGCGTACAGAGGCCCATTATCAGCAACCATCAGTCCTGTGTTCCAATGGCACATTGTGTTTGCTAATACAAGTTTATCATTTTAAAAGGCTAATCGATCATTAGAAAACCCTTTTGCAATTATGTTAGCACAGCTGAAGACTGTTGTCCTGATTAAAGCAGCAATAAAACTGGCCTTCTTGAGACTAGTTGAGTATCTGGAGCATCAGCAATTGTGGGTTCGATTACAGGCTGAAAATGTCCAGAAACAAATAACTTTCTTCTGAAACTCATCAGTCTATTCTTGTTCTGAGAAATGAAGGCTATTCCATGCGAGAAATTGCCAAGAAACTGCCAAGAAACTGAAGATCTCGTACAACGCTGTGTACTACTCCCTTCACAGAACAGCGCAAACTGGCTCTAACCAGAATAGAAAGAGGAGTGGGAGGCCCCAGTGCACAACTGAGCAAGATGACAAATACATTAGTGTGTCTAGTTTGAGAAACAGATGCCTCACAGGTCCTCAACTGGCAGCTTCATTAAATAGTACACACAAAACACCAGTCTCAACGTCAACAGTGAAGAGGCGACTCCGGGATGCTGACCTAGGCAGAGTTGCAAAGAAAAAGTCCAGTGTCTGTGTTCTTTTGCCCATCTTAATCTTTTCTTTTTATTGGCCAGTCTGAGATATGGCTTTTTCCTTGCAATTCTGCCTAGAAGGTCAGCATCCCGGAGTCGCCTCTTCTCTGTTGACGTTGAGACTGGCCGCCCTCAATCATCTCTTATTTATTTACTCCCTGTGTGTGTGTGTGTGTGTGTGTGTGTGTGTGTGTGTGTGTGTGTGTGTGTGTGTGTCACCCACAGCACCAGATCACTGTGTCTAAATTACTGTTCTCCCCAAATCATCAACCCAGACTTACTCAGAGTTGCAGTAATAACTGGATCTGTATCAGACATGTCTCAAGGGCTTCAACACACACAAAAACACACAGATTGTTGGAAATATTTTTCAAATAGCTTACTGTGAGGAACTATAGTTTTAATATACTATCATTCGCAATGGATGTTTAAAAAAACACTTTCCTACATTTCCATGCAGCAGGCCAGGTACTTCTATGCGTGAGCGCTGCCTCATTATCAGGACAGAGAAACCAGACATGCTCATTACTCACATGGAGCAGTCCAAACAAAATACAATGAAAACATTGACAAATCTCGTAAATGATGGGTATGAAATAAACCCAAACTTGATTCTCTCAAGTGTAGCAGGTTGTGAACTCTGCAAACAACGTTTCCACTCTGAGAATGAGAACGGTAAATGACTAATGAATACATGCATTAACAGAAATTAATGTAACCAAATTACAGGGATTGACTGTACTACATTTACTACTGGTGACATACGTAAATGGGGAATTTATAAAAAATAAATAAAAAAGGGCAAACAACTCGCACAATTAAACAATGAATGCGCAAGAATTGGCGGGAGACAGCTGAGCCATTCTGGAGAGAAACGTGACTATATCTTCACCACACACCACTCCCCTTCTTCTTGTCTCAACATTAAAAATTATACTCAAGACGCATTTATCTTCACACATATTTTAGATGCTTTTCACTGACAGCCGCAACTCAATAATCAGATAGGTCTATTGCCATGCGCGCTGCCCAAATTGCGGGATTCCGAAATAGGCATAGGCCTATTATTTATTTCTGTTTTGACAGGAGTAATTATATAATTTTGGCAAATGTATTTCCATTTACTTCCCTATTGGACCCACCGCTATGCCATTTCTCTCCTGTTCTATTGGTTTTCATTTCAATTTTCTTTCATTGTCCAGAAGCCAAAGGCAGAATCCTAGTCATATTAGCAACCCATCCTAGTTGTTGCATCTTTAGACTCCCCCTCTTTCTAAGTTGCTAACACTCTGTCACATATGGTGCCGCTATAAGGTGCACTGTTTAGAATGGGGTTTTCCCAGGTGCACTGTTAAGGCAAATGTTTGAAAATGACGTTTTACTGGCTTTTTCATTACATGAGTTACATTTTCTGTTAAGATGCATTACAAGAATCAAATATTGATTTTTGTCATTCTGAGCACCGTGGGTGGACGCTCTAATGGGTTATGCACCCAATGCATATGGGTCCGGTAAATTTCTCAAATGGCCGGTAAATTAAAATCTTCCCGTTCACGTTGTCCGGCGCCACATTTTCCTAACGGAAACCCTGAGTCAGACAGACAAACATACACAATTATTGTCAGCATAAAAAGCCTTGTTGTAAGTCCTTTGAACTTGTAGTAAAAAGTTTGGAGCTGCAAAATTAGCAAAGAAACAGACAGGGAACTCTAATGTGGCTGGGCCAAACACCAAACCTAATGCTTTGGCCTGTTCAGTTTTATGACTCCAGCCTGGGTGTCGTAAGGGAGTGGCTCGCCCTTCAACTGAACTGTGGAAAAGAAAAACTTCAAAATGTCTTGGCTGGTGCTGAAACAAGAACTGACACCCCAAAATTCATTGTGTCTTCTCAGTCATTTTCCCTGTCTCCTGAGCTCTCCATCTCTTGCATTATACATGTCCCTCCCTCCTTATGTCCATCCCTATATCCTCTCACAACCTCTTCCTCTCCTTATTCCTCTCTCTCCTTTTCTTCCCCCTCACCAACTCTCTGAGCTTGACTTGATATGTACAGTATTTCCCTGCAGGGCTCCCAGTCACTAAGATAAGTTTCAACAGGGGAGAGAAACATAGGGGCAGTGTGATGTAATTTCACTGCCAGCCCTGACACACTCCAGCGGTGTTATCACAGTGTAACGGAGAGTATTTAGACATGAAATTGTATCCCTAGAGCGCTATGGGAAGGGAAGTCCATTTGAGTAACACAAAGAGGAGTGTGTGTATGCGTGTGTGTGTTTGTGTGCGTTATGGCATGCGTGCATGTGTGTGTGTGTGTAGACCTTGAGAGTTTAGATGTGTGGGTGCAAGTGAGTGTGTGCATGTGTGCGTTTGTGCGTGCATATGTGCGTGCGTGCGTGCGTGCCCATGTGCGCAACTCACCAGTGGGAAGGTCGACGTGCTGCAGCTCATTCCTCACCAGTCCAGCGTTGTTGGGGGTTGAAGTGGCAAAGGACAGGAAGCTGGTGAGACTGACCCATTCTATGCCTCTGCAGAACACACATTAAAAGCCCCATTAAAAATATACATTAACACGCCTCATCCGCCTTTGTCTGATGAGTTAGTTTACCATCTGCATTTCACCAAACCTTTATACCTCTGCAAAATAGAACATAAACGCTACATTTGCGAGCACTAAAGCTAGGAGGCAATAGAGCACCCCATTGCATACAGGGCGCTTGCCCGCTTCAAATAATAACAACTCTGACCTTTTCCCGACTTTTCCCTAAGCTAACAAATACATTTTAAAGAATACATTTTGAAGACCTTTCTCATTTGAGGCAACTTTTAAGTGCCTACAACTGTAGACAGTTGTTGGCAACACTGCTAAAACCTTTCCATCGAACCAAAGAGACAACAACGATCCAGCAGAGAGCCCTTAGAGGGGGGTGAGGAGTAGCAAGGGAGCAGCTAAGCACCATGCTGTAATGAGATCCTAAATAGCCATATGATTCATTTCTACATTTAATTAGATGCAAAATAGCCCGACGTCCCTCCCTTAGCATTGCCGTTCCAGGGCTGAACTGGCCTGATTTCCACCATACCATTTACATTACATTTTACATTTTAGTCATTTAGCAGACGCTCTTATCCAGAGCGACTTACAGTTAGTGAATACATATTTTTTTTTTTATACTGGCCCCCCGTGGGAATTGAACCCACAACCCTGGCGTTGCAAACGCCATGCTCTATCAACTGAGCTACATCCCTGCCGGCCATTCCCTCCCCTACCCTGGACGACGCTGGGCCAATTGTGCGCCGCCCATGAGTCT